GTTCGACGATCCCCGGTGGAGGAATCTCCGCGATTTTTCCAGACGGCTGAACCGGCCGGCCGTTCGATTCACACTACCGCGATCGAGCGTGTCTCTCGATCGCGCATCCCGGCTCGATAGTTGATCATTGACCGACGATTTGCCCGACGAAACGGAACCACCGCGCCGCGCACCACGAATCAAAAGTGTACTCCGCAGTCACCGCTACCTCGCACTAATCGACAAGATGGAAACACAAGGGTATCCCCCCGCCGACGTCCAGCAGCGTCGCTACGTCGCGAAAGACGACGACGCATGACGCGTGCAGAGACAACCGAGCACCAGCTAGCCACGATCAATAAGCGCTGCCACGGCGTCTGCGCCGACAATGCGATGCCATGATGGGACGGGAGGAGAGACAGGGTTTTACCGGGATCGTGTGTGGGTGCGTCGGTGTGCCCGCCGCTATCGACGCGACGCGTATCGACGATTTAGGCTGCCCCTGCCCCTCCAACACCACCCGTTTACGTGTGCAACACGTAAGAGAACGGCAGCCGTTAATTGCTTCCCTCTCTTTCTCTATCTCTCTCGAACCGTGTATTTTACTATGCAACTCTTCAAAATTACGAGTTTCTTTTTCGTTCTTGGCTACCTTAGTGGCAGTACGGTAAATATGTATGTAGTCGGGTTGCCTCTGGGGAGGTATCATCATGAAGGGGTTATAGAAGGGGCTACTTCCTGCTTGGCAGTTTCTATAAAAATTTAGGGAGGAGTTAAAAACTGGTTGCGTAGTAATTTTGGGATTTAGGGATTTAAAGTTTTAGGGATATATCTGGAATTTTTTTTTTGATGTAGACATATAAGTGTATGAGGATTTAAGGACTTTGTGATTTAAGGATGTTGGAGTCTAGGGACACGAGAATTTTGAGACAGAGAATTTAAAAATAGAGAGGTTTATAAATATAGTGATCTTCTTGAAGACAAGAGAGTGATTGCATCTCTTTGCGTGGAACTCTCGTGTCTGAGGAATCGATATCGGCGGTTTCTCTTATCCGTGGTTGACTAGATGAAATGCTGATGCACGGGAAAGTATCACCACTATCAGTTTTTCGAGAAATTTCGGGATTCTCGAATTCTTTGATTTAGACATTTTTGTTAAATTTCAGTTGTTGAAATTTTGAAAATACATTTGAAAATTTAAAAATTATAAATTTTAGCTTACGGAAACTTGAAGTTTCATAATTTCAAAGTTCTAACGATCAAGAGTTCATAAATTCGGAAATACCAGAATCCTAAAATTAAAAAATTACAAAATTACAAAGATCTAAAAATTCTAAAGATACCAAAAGTGTATTTGTGAAGTATGCCATAAAAGAAATCTTGAAACAGACTTTCATAAAAAATAAACAAAACCTACCCTATGTAATGCGTAAGAAACACGAAATACATTTTAACGCGGAGTTCTAATGAATTATTATACGCGAATAATCACTCAGCATTGCTACGAACGTGATTAGAATTATGCATGTATCGATAAAACGTACATGAAACTTTAGAAACTGCAGATAGAAACCACGATATCTAAAAAGAAGATTTGTACATTTGTAATAGCATTAAAACGTGATAAATATGTAACAGTACTACATTTTTTAGATAGATTTGCTATATGGCGGAAATACTTGTTTGGTGAATTTCTGACATTAAAACGTTATACTTAATATACATCTCTATTACTAATTAACTCCTTAAAATATATAATTTTGAAAAGAATAACCTAAGTTAACGATTTAATATATAACCATACAAGGATTTTTTGATGATAGAGAAATGAAGAAAAATTCATTTATTTTATTTAATATAGAAACATTAACATTTTGGGATTAACATTTTACCATGCATAAAAGGTGGGACAGTTAACTCATCTAATTTTAAAGAGATAAATAGCAATACTGATAGCTAATGGATTAAATTTATTTCAATTTATTTCAACTTTGAAAAATTTGTTTAAATAAATTTTCTAAATTTTGTATAGAATTATTGGTAATTTCTTTTCAAATCAATATAATACAGTCTTCAGTGTGTACCGTGATTTGAATTGGTGCTAGTTTCGCGCCCAAAGTAGTCTTTGGGTATGTAACTTTCGTTAGAGCGGTTTGATCGAATTGCCTCTCACCGCCAAGCAGAAATATGTGGGGCAACTTTAATCGTTTGATTTTCATTAAATTACAATGAATAACCAGTTGCGCCTTCATAATACTACCATTTCCGAAATTAAATACAGCTTTTAATTAACTTTTTACATCAATCAATGAATATACTTGATTACAGCAAAAATAAGATGCATGTATTTTATTAAAAGGACCGCAAAGTAATGTTTCTGCGCATGTCAACATTTGTCATTTATCAGCTGATTGTATTCTTTGTCGTGCCAAAGTTTTCAGGTTAAATTGACTCGTTTACTCGTAAATAATTAAATCTGAAATTTTTCTTTGCAATTTTATGTGAAATAGCCAGCCAAATACCAGAGGTACATATCCATTGTATGCTTTTCGAGTTTCACAAGGGTAGTAACGCAACAGTCGCTACCAAAAACATTTGCGATGTTTATCCAAGTGCATTGGACGTTCGCAAATGCCAAAGGTGGTTTTCCAATTATTCCAATCGCTACGACACTTTCTAAGTGACAAAAAATTTGAAAATTTTGATGATATCCAAAATGCCGTCTCCAGTAATTTTGCCCGGAAACCAATTGATTTTAATCGAGCCGGCATTGAAAATTTGCGCAGTAGATGGCAAAAGGTTGTCGATAACGAGGGATTACATTACTGATTAAAAATAAAAACTTGTTAAAAATTTGCTTGAATTTAATGTAAAAAACGAAATTACTTTCCGGTTCCCCTAATACCAACGATCACCCACAACATGGCGAATGTACTTGCGAAAGTAGCCCAAAGAAATTGATTTTCTTTTACTAAACGACCCGATTCTTATTACTAATAACCTGGTTTCTAGAAAATCCACCGTTGGGAAACGTGTATTTTATTT